TTGTTCTGTAGTTTCCACATTATGTTGGGTCACCTTTCTTTGGGATAGGAACAAATATAGATGGTCTTACACACTATCTATCTTTGTGGGACTGAGTTAGTTCACTCTGCATAATGCTCTACAGTCCCTCCCAAGTTAGGTAATAATTTACAAAATCATTGCTCCTGCGTGCTGTGTAGTATTCCATTGTGTGAAGAATGTATCATAATTTCTCAATCCATTAGTTTGTGGTCAGAAATTTGGGCTATTACCATGTTCTTGTGATGGTCAATAATGCTGCCATGAACATTGATGTACAAATCTCAGTTTGTGCCTCAGTTCTCATATTCTCAGGGTTTATTCCAATAGTGGAATAGCTGGGTCATACATAATTTCTATGTCCAGCTTTTTTCCCCCTTTTTTACTGTGGAAAACATGTATGGGGATACAAGGAGGTGAGGGTTGGGAGCAGAAGGGTGAGGATGGGAAGGGATGAAATTTCAGGGATGCAGTTGCAGGGATGCACAATTTGATGGGTGGGGGGAGTAGGTGAAGGAAAAGAAAAGAGCAATGGGGACCAGACAATACAGGGCAATGGTAAGCATAGTCCAATGGTGATTAAACAAAATGTCTTATTCACTTGTGGATTTCTCATTTGGGAATGGGGTGCAGACTCTCTGACTTTTTCATGCTGAACCGGGGCATATTGATCACCTTTTTATCACCTTACTGGTGGTCCTGGGTTAAAGCTGCTTGCCTTCTTGTTCTGTTAGAAGGCATTTTCCCTGACTGTTACTTCCCTCTGGACTGCAAAGTATTTTCCCAGGTGGGTCCAGTGGGGATGGCTGACTGAACCCTGAGGCTCCATCCTCCTTTGCTTCCTTAGCTGGCAGTTGTATTTCCTTTTTGTCTCTGGCACTGGGTTCAGGGTCAGGTCTGGAGTAAAACTTAGTGTTAAGGCTAGCTGTAGGAAAGGGAGCAAACCTAGAGAGAACAAACTTGTGAGTTATAAATAGAAGGGCTTTGGAGGTGTTACTTATGGGTGTACTGGGGGAGAAGATGGAGGAAAGTAGCCTAGATAAAATTCTTTATATACCCTAGTCAGTTTTTTCTATCTAGGGGTCGGATGGCACAACCCAAGGGCTGAGGAGTTCACCCAGAGGACCAAATGGCTTACCTCAAGGGCTGAATGGCTCACCCCGAGTGCTGAATGGTTTACCCCAGGGACTGATCAGCTCACCTCGAGGGCCAAATTGCTCCTCCGAGGGCCAGATGGCTCCCCCTGAGGGCCAGGTGGCTCCCCCCAAGGGCCAGATGTTCAGCTTTTTGAGGAAGCTCCAAACTGCCTTCCAGAATGGTATACCATTTTACAATCCCACATCCTCTCCAACATCTGTTACTTGCTGCCCTGTTAAACTTTGGTACTCTTATTGGAGTGAGATGATACCTCATTGTGGTTCTGATTTGCATGTCTCTTATTGCCAGTGATTTGGAGCATTTCTCCATGTGTCTGTTTGCCATTTGAATATCTTCCTGTGTGAAAATTCTTTCCATGTCTTTTGCCCAGTATGTAATTGGATTATCAGTCTTTTTCTAGTGGAGGCCCAGGAGTATTCTATAAACTTTTGTTATAAGACTCTTGTCTGAGATGGTATTACCAAATGTTTGTTCCCAGTCTGTAGGTTTTATTTTTACTCTGTTGGGAAAAGTTTTTGATGTGCACAGAGATTTAATCTTTAAAAGGTCCCATGCATCAATTTTATCCTCTTTAGATTGTGCATTTATGGTTGTATTTGGCAGTCTCTTCATACCTTGGACTAGTGCTTCTAAGCTTGATCCCAGTTTGTCTCTTATGAACGTTATGGTTTTGGGCTTTACTCCCAGGTCTCTGATCCACCTTGAGTTGATTTCCCACCAGTAGTTCTGAGAGTCAAATATGGGCAGTCTCCTGTGCCATTTACAGCTTCACTGAAGGGAAAACTATGAGTCAGTTCTGACTCAATAACAATGAATATGAGTTGAGTTTTATTATGTAGTTACTGGTTTTTCCTCTCCTCCCTCTTGCCTATCATCCCGGGAAGAAAGAACATGTCTTTCCGTATGTGAAAGTTCTCTTAGCTATTTTAAAACAGTTTTTTCACTGACTTGAGTGAAGGTTTACAAAGCAAATTAATTTTTCATTCAACCATTCATATACATTTTTTCTATTAATTACAATACCCAGAAATTAATTGTATATTCCCATTTGCTTTCTACAACTGTAATTTCCACTAATTTCCCCTAATGGTGTAAATCTTTCTTTTTTTATTTCTTGCAATTCATTTTTTTCATAGTATTTTTAAATTGAGATTTCAATAAAAGTTTATAGAGAACTTGGGTTTCCAGTCATTCATTATTGCATATTTTCCTCCTTGCCCAACCCCTCAGTTTACTTTTCTCTTTGGAAAAAACAGTCTTTTATTATTGTACAATTCCCTTCCCCCAGTCCACTTTACTATGCAGCTCTTATTCCAGATTGTTGTTATGTAAATAACACCTAATCATATATTCCTTTAAAGCCGTTCTTTCCCTCAGCTGTTTTAATGCAGTGTACATTATTTATCTGCTCTTTTCATAGTTTCTCCCATCCCTGATGTCAGTTCTGTTGTATAACCATGACATTATGCAGTATTTTTCCTTTTGTGACTGAGATGTTTCACTCAGCGTAATGTTCTCCGAGGTTACCCATTTTTTTTTACTATTTCAATAGTTCCTTGTTTTTCAGTGCTGCATAGAATTCCATAGTGTGAATATACCACAGCTTCTCTAGCCATTCGTTTGTTGATGGGCACTTGGGTTGTTTCCATCTCTTTGCTATTGTAAACAATGAAGCAGTAAACATGGATGTACATATATCTGCTTAGGTGTCTGTTCCGATTTCTTTTGTGTTGTAATTTAATTCACTTTATTTGTTATACAAAATCCACTATGTGGTGGCCACAGCTGGAGCCTGGGTCCTCTGCATGGAGACTCTGGTGTGAGTCTTTACAAGATGGTCAGTGAATTCCTGGTAGGAAAACTTGGTGAACACAGTCTCTTTACAGAGATCTTGGAGATGGCATCAAAGGTGGCTTTTGCAAAGCTGCCCAGGGTAGCTGTGCAGCCCCCTGGTTGAGGTGTAGCAGTCATCAATTCCAGCCATCAGCAGTATCATCTTGGGCACAAAGCCTGAGATGATTCCAGTGCCTTGGGGTGCAGGGATCAGAGGCACCAACACAGAACCACAGCGCCCAGCCACCTTGTAGGGAACAGTATGAGGCTTGCCAATCTTGTTCTCCCAGTAGACACGCCACACTGGGACAATGGATAGCTGGAGCACTTGATGTCCAAGCCAACATGACCATTATAGTCTCCAATGGCAACAAAGGCCTTGAACTTGGTCTGCTGGCTAGCATGTGTCTGCTTCAGCACAGGCATGATTTTCAAGATCTCATCTTTGAAAGACATCCCCAGGAAAAAGTCAATGATCTGACTCCTTGATGGTCAGTGAGAAGAGATAAAACTCCTCCAAGGATTTGATCTTCATATCTTTGACCAGACAGCCGAGCTTGGTGATGTGGAGTCACTTGGCTTTGCCTCGTCAAGCTCGCGTCCCCTCCAACAGCCCTGTCCACAGCCATGCCCCGACCCCCCTCCCCCGCAGAGTGCTGCCTAAGCAGACACCTCCCTCGGCCTTCAGGCCTTCCCGCTGCACTGGAGTCATCCGCCAATTGGTGTTTTCTCAGAGAAGAAGCTGTTCTGATTTCTTTAAGGCCTATTTCCAGTAGTGGAATTGCTGAGTCAAATGGTATTTCTATTTCCAACTTTTTGAGAAAGTGGATATTGCCTTCCAGAGTGGTTGTACCGTTTTATACTCCTACAGTGAATAAGGATTCCACTTGCTCCACAACTTCGCCAAAATTTGTTTGCTGCTCTGTTGAATTTTGCTATTCTTACTAGGGTGAGATAATATCTCATAGTTGTTTGGATTTGCATCTCTCTTAGAGCTAGGGATTTTAACATTTCTTCATGTGTTTGTTTTCCATCTGAATGTCTTCTTTAGTGAAGTGTCTGTTCATATCCTGTGTCCATTTTGCCATTTTGTTCTTTATCTTGTTGTGGTGCTCAAGTATTTTATAAATCCTGGCTATAAGTCCCTTATCAGACATGTCATTACCAAATAATGTTTTTCCCAGTCTGTGGCTCTCCCTTTTACCCTACTGGAGAAGATTTTTGATGTGCATAAGGATTTGGTTCTTAGAAGGTCCCATTCATCTATTTTATCCTCTCCTGGTTGTAGGCTTCTCAGGATGCTTGGAAGACTGTTCATGTTGTGGATTAGGACTTCTACAATTCTTCCAAGCTTTTCTCGGATGTTTATAGTTCTTGGTTTTAGTCCTATGTCTTTGGTCCACTCTGAGTTGGTTTTTGTGTATGGGATGAGGTGTGGGTCTTGCTTGAGTTTTCTGCAGATAGTTTTCCAATTTTGCCAATACCATTTGTTAAAAAGGCTGTTGTTTCCCCACTTAACTGATTTCATCGCCTTGTCAAATATTAGTTGACCATAGGTAGATGAGCTGGTTTCTGGGTTCTCAATTCTATTCTATTGATCTATGAGTCATTGTATCAGTACCATGCTGTCTTGACCACCATGTCAGTGAAGTAGGATTTGAAATCAGGGAGTGAGATGCCTTGTAACGTGTTTTTTGTGTGTGTTGTTTTTGTTTTTTTTTCCTAAGGAATGCTTTGTTTATTCGGGGTCTCTCCATTCCAGATGAAATTGGAGATTGCTTTTTCCATTTTGTTGAAGAATGGAATTGGTATTTGTATTGGGATTGCTTTGAACATGTAGATTCCCTTTGTTAGAATTGTTCTAATATTGAGTGTTCCTATCCAAGAGCAAGGTATATTCTTCTATTTCTCCAAGTCTCTTTTTGTTTCTTGTAGTAATGCTTTGCAATTTTCTTTGAATAGGTCCATTGTGTTTCTAGTTAGATTTACTGCCAAATATTTAATATTGTGATTAGCTATTGGGTTGTTGATTTTGGGTGTTTTTCCCCCTCCAGTTCTGTATTCTCTTTGTCATTGTAGAGAAATCCAATTGATTTTTGTGTGTAGATCTTGTATCCTGCCACTTTGCTTAATTGGTCAACTATGTCCAGTAGTTGAGACTGCAACTGTTAACAGCTTCTGTTTGCTTGGCTCCACAATCAACACTCTTGTACCAGCAGCCAGGAAATTAAAAGACGAACTGCATTGGGAAAGTCTGTCAGAGACCTCTCCAAAATACTGAAGAGCAATGATGTCAATCTGCAGAATAAGGTGTGCCTGATTCAGGCTATGGTCTTTGCAAAGACATGCTATGCATCAGAAAGCTGGACAGTGACTAATGATGATAGAAGGAAAATTGATGCCATTGAGCTGTGGTGCTGGATAAGAATATTAAATATATCATGGACTGCTAGGATAACAAACAGGTTCATCCCAGAAAGGGTGAAATGAGGCTGCTCCTTCAAGGCAAGGATTCTGAAGCTTTATCTCCCATACTTTGGACATGTTAAAAGGAGGCATCAGTCCTTGGAAAGGGACATCATGATTGAGACAGTGGAGAGACAGTGCGAGAGAGGAAGACTCTGACTCTTGATTATATGGATTGATTCGGTGACTGGGGCAATCTACATAGGTGTGTCAGAGACAATAAATTGGCACAGGATAGAGCAAAGTGTAGGGCTGTTGTATGTAGGGTCGCTATGAGTCACAAGCAACTCAATGGCACATAACAACAACAACAACCGTCTACTACAGATGACCTCTTTAACGTATTAAGAAGCAAAGATGTCACCTTGAAGAATGGTACACCTGACCCAAGCAATGATATTTTAATGTATAAGCACAAGCTAAACAGTGAATAAGGAACACTGAACGAGAATTGATGCCTTTGAACTACGATGCTGGTGAAGACTATTCCATGGCCAAGGTTTATTACTTCTATAATGAGGCTTTATGCTATTGACTTTGTTGACCCTAAGGGGCTCACCCATGCGGTTAAGAAGTCTAGTGATCGGATGACCCCCTCCAGTACCACAACATCTGACAAGGGACTGATGACACGACAAGCTGCCTGCCTCCCTGCAGGTCGAATACACTGGAGGACCCAGGTTGGACTCTGAAGCAAGGAAGTCTTGGTGGTTCTTGTAGCTAGCTCTTTGGTTGTTGCTCCCATGGACCGCTGAATGATGGTCACCTGCTCAGGACCCAGTTTAGCCTGTATCTCCAGGAGATCTTGGGATGTGGCCGGGAATTGCCTCTGGTACGCAACACAGAGGACTTAGGAGAGCTGTTTTGTTTGGGTTTTTTTTTTTTGTTTTTTCATCAGAAATCAAGAGGTAATTTATGTCCACTATAAGGAGTCTAGAGGCTCCAGGAGGTATGCAAAAAGGTCACTGAATTCTTTACTGTTACATAAATGTTGAGAGAAGAGACAGGAATAGCTATAATACTGCAATCTGGATAGATGTTAGAGGCTTTTGTTGGAGGAAATCCCATTCAAGACAGGCTGATTTTAAAGTGACAGCATAAATGAAACTTAGGCAAAATTTCTAAATGAAGAATATTTTGTCTACAAAGTATAAAGAGTCTTAAAAGATGTTGTGCTTATTTTAATATCACGGGGGCTGGGAGAGTAAAATATTGTTTCTTGATAGTTTAGGGGATAAAGGGCCCCTCAGTTGACCAAATAATTGTCAGAAATTTAACAGAAGTTGTGAGGCCTTGTGCTGTTTGGTGAATGAGTGAGTGAGGTAATGGCTCATTCAATTTCTGTCAATTTATATTTGTATGTCTTGAATAAGTGCCAAATGAATACCCTTGGAGGAGGAGTCCATTAATATAATACCATACATGTGCTCCTGAATGTAATTAAAATCTTCCCTAAAAAGAGAATCTTCACAGGCAGAGAAGTGGGACAGCACAAAGGGCCTTGAAACTCCCCACCTACCCCACAGGTAAACGTGAAGACACCACGGCTGCACGGCAGTCATTGGGGCCCAAGGGCCCTATCTACACACCAGTTCTACAGGATGCATCACTTTCTCTCGGGAAACATTACCACTAAACTTAAGAGACACTGGCCACAGCATAACTGTCAGCAGCTGACGTGTTTGGAATCACAGAAGCCGAGGAAGCTTCAGATATAAGCTATCAGATCAAGAGCTGGACAATGGGAGATAGATGTCCAAGGGAGTGGGTAGAAGTGGATGGGTATCCTGGTGGATGGTGGAGCAAGGAAACACTGAAACTAATGGTTAATTCCACAATAAGGGATATATCTTTCACTTTTTCTGTAAAATGCTTGTCTGTTGGATACTTCTCTAAATCTGAACATTCATATTAAGACAGACTAGGAAGAAGGATTGGCCATCCACTTCTGAAATAGCAGGTCTCTGAAAACCCTATGTACAACAGAACACACGTAGAATAACAGAAAGGGCAACTGAGGTGGAGCTTTCAAGTATGGAAATACAAAGGAAGAGAAACAGTTGTAAGCAGACACTAGTGACTGGAACATGAAATATGAGAACCATGAATGTAGGAAAATTAGATATTGTTAAGGAAGAAATGGAATGCATAAATATTGATATACTAGGCATTGGTCAGATGAGATGGACTGGCATGGGGCATTTTGAGACGGATGATCATATGATATATTACTCTGGAGATGAAAAGGTAAGGAAAAATGGGGTTGCTTTCATAGTTTAAAAAGTCATTTCTAGATCCATCTTGAAGTACAATACTGTGAGTGACAGGATAATATCCATATGCATAAAAGGAAGTCCAGTGAATAACCGCTATCATTCAGATATATGCACCAACAACCAGAGCCAAAGAAGAGGAAATAGATTTCTACCAACTTTTACAGTCAGAGATCGATCAAACATGCAATCAAGATGCATTGATAATAATGAGTGACTGGAACGCAAAAGTTGGCAACAGGGAAGAAGACTCTGTAGTTGGAAAACATGGACTTGGTGACAGAAATGGAGCTAGAGATAGAATGATTGAATTTTGCACAATGGCTTATTCATTGCAGATACATTTTTTAAGAGACATAAACTCAGGTTATATACATGGATTTCACCTGGTGGTATGCATAGGAATCAGATCAATTACATCTGTGGAAAGAACCACTGGAGAAGCTCAATATCAGCTGTGAAAACTAGGCCAGGAGATGATTGTGGAACAGACCACCAACTACTCATATGCAAGTTCAAGCTGAAGCTGAGGAAAGTTAAACTGAATCCATGGGAACCAAAATA